GCGCACTGGGCTGAGTGCCAGGTGGTGTGTGTTGAGTCAAGGACAGCGAGGACACACTGAGAGCAGCAACACAACAGAGTGACAACGAGGAGAAGAAAAATGAGGACGAGGAGGACGGACTGATGAAGAGAAGAGCTGATGAAGGGATGAAGGGATGAAGAGATGAACGGATGACGAGATGAACTGATGAAGGAATGAATTGATGAAGGGATGAATTGATGAAGAGATGAATTGACGGAGAGATCAACGGATAAAGGGATGAATTGATGAACTGATGAACTGATGAAGAGATGAACGGATGAAGGGATGAACTGATGAAGGGATGAACTGATGATAGTAACGCCATCTGTAGCTGCTTTAATGCAGTAAAACTGTATTTTTACTACAGAAGAACAAGTCGCTGTTTGAAAATCTACAGTTTTGGTTTATTTTTTACAGTCAACATGTAAATGAACAGATTTTATATTTAGACTTCAGTGGATTTTATCTGATGTTTAATTAAAATAGGGAACATTTGTAAGAAGAGAAATGACCATGTTACAGAAAACATTCTGATTAGTTTGTTTGTTTTTACTGATTTAAATACAAAAAAAAAATGCATTCAAACTTTGCAAAATAAAAACAAATTGGTGTTTACAAAATTTGGATTGTTGGAACATTTTCAAATTTTTGGCCTTTTTTGTAGAGTTCTGACATTAATACATGAATGGGTTTTGTTTGTTTGTTTGTTTGTTTTGTTTTGTTTCTTACATGATTTTAGGGGCGATCATTTTGCGTCTTCAAGTTCAGACTGTTTTCAGGTTTTCATCACTCTGTGGCGCAGCAGCTCCTCTGTCGGAACAGAACCACTCAGGTGGGTCTTGGTTCTCCTTCTTTGGACCAGAACCAGCCGAGACCAGCTGCTGTTCTGCAGACGTTCTGATCCAGCTGTCCAACATCACAGTTTGTAAAAGTGTGCCGGATGTTCACGCTGCACATTATCAGGAACCAAGAGCTACCTGCCGGGTCCATCAGAACCTGATAATTAGTCCCATTTCCTTCTGTGATGCAGGACGGAGTCAGAACTCAGCGTTCTGGAGCTGATGGTGTTAAAATGAGATGAAGGAGGTAAAGGATCCTCTGAAGGCTTCATGTGGCGGCTTTAGGACTCAGGACGACACCTGAAGGATGGAGCTTTTTACCTGATGGTATCGTTACCTGCTGCTCATGGTCCACTGACAGGTCCAGACCTTTAGCAGGACACGGCCGGTTATTATTCAGATCAAAGTGAACGCTCTAATCTGCTCTAATAAAGCTTGAACTGTTCACGTCTACTTTAAAGCCTGAGACCCACAGACGCTGGTTAAAGGAACATTTGGTCTCTGCTTGAACCCAACAGGTCCGGTTCTGATGATAATCCAACGTTTACTGTTTATTTCATGTTTTCAGGTCATTCATCTGCGATCTGGAGCAGAAACGTGAGCAGCTGAAGGACGCAGCCTTAAATCTGAAGAAGCTGAACTGATTATTGATTATCAGAACAGTTGGTATTGATTTAACAGTCGATGGATTAATTACTTATCGATCATCTCCTCCATGTCGTTTACCTGCAGCCTGATAACACCTGGACTCAGTCCAGCCACATACAGCCATGTTTCCTGCTCAGACCGATTGATTGATTGATTGATTGATTGATTGATTGATTGATTCTCTGTTTGTCTGTTTGAGTCAGTGTCTGCCGTCGATCCACAAGCTCTGAGAGCTTCTCCTGCGTCTGAATCTGTCAGAGTACATGATTTCCACACACACACACACACACACACACACACACACACACACACACACACACACACACACACACACACACACATACACACACACAGAAACACACAGCAGGGCTCAGTGAGGCAGGAAGGTATTGGCACTGAGGGAATACAAGGAGCAGACAGTAATTAGGAACCAGCCTACTGTACCACAGACACACACACACTCTGACACACACACACACACACACACACATACACACACACACACACACTCTCTCTCTCTCTCTCTCTCACACACACACACACACACACACACAGTGTAATTAGGTAAGGGCCCTGATGCCCCAGTGGTGAACTGAACAAGCCCCAGAATACCCTCAGTGGGAGCAGCTGAACACTATAATACATGGGAAGGAGGCGTGAACACACACACACACACACACACACACTGTAACACACATTAATTAAGCGGCGGCCTGCTGTGCGTGGAGCAGCAGCTCTGGATGGTCTCACTGGGAGTGTTGGTGGACCAGCAGCAGTCAGGATTAACACCAGTCGACCTGCTGAACGCCACCAACACGCTGCTGCCGCTTTATTTCTGCTTCCAGCCACATTTCAGCTTCAAAAATCCACAGAAACACACAGACGGGTGACAAGCTGAAGGAAAACCAACCCAGAGCGTCTTCAGGAGGGTTTAAGACACAACGAGCTGCTTTACTTCCACATTTGTCATCATTTCAGGTTTTATATCCACTAACAGTCCCACAGAAGCACCAACAACAGCCCTGTTCCACCAAGAAGAACCAGGTACTAGGTCCATGCCGGTACCAGTTCTGTGCCAGTGCCAAGGCCAGAGCTTAGTTGGTACTAATCTGTTGTTCATTTACCGAACAACGCTGTGCCACATGGAAGTCCACACAGGACTCCAGACTTTGTTTTTTTTCACGACCAAATGAGACATTCGGTGGCACCAGTACTTCACACCTCGTCACAGGAGAAACATACGACTTGCTGAACATCTTCTTATCGACAGACTCTACAGTTTACCGATGTTCCCCAAATGCCCCACCAGTTCTGAGAGCCTGGAGCCGGTGCTTTGGTAGTGGAAACACCAAGAACTGGTGCTGAGTCAGGCACTAGCACAGAACCAGCACTGGACCCGGTTTGGTGGATCAGGGGTAAAACGAAGCGTCTTCATCAGGCGTCGGGACGTCACAAGCTGCCTGAGCTGCTTTACTCTGACCACGACGCATCGTTTTATCTTCACCACATCCTCACAGAGACAACAAACCAGCCTCAAGCGTCTCTCTCAGGTGTTGGGAGGACCGGTGCTGACCAACCAGTACCTCCCCGTTTATCTGTTATAGTCGCCAACAACCTCCAAGAAACCCCACAGACTGGTGACAAGTTCAAGGAGATCCAGCCTAAAGTGTCTTAATCAGGTGTCGGCCACCAGAGCAGCTCTCCTGGACCGGTACCGGAGCGATGGGCATCGTTCCTCTAAAACATGTTCCTGTTGTTGTTCTGATGTCATTCTGACAGGCTCCGCCCCCTGAACACCTGCAGAAGATGAAGGTGTAGACGATGGATGGATGATCAGTCCGACCAATGATCTGATGATTGATTCATACCGAAGGTCTTCAGATAGAACTTTCATGTTCACAAAGCAGATCCTTGACAAACTGCATCTCTCCTCAACAACCACCACAGCGGCTGTTTAGATGAAACTGGTAAAGATGAAGACTGAGAGAAGTCTGGCAGCTGTCAGGAGTTCAGAGGCGACGTGAAGCCTGGTTGGTTGAGCTGCTCCTCATCCAACAGAAACCTGCGTTCACCTTTATGTCTGAGCATCTGATCAACAGTCAGCTGATGAAACTGAACCTGGTTAAAGCAGGTAATCCGGTTTTAGTTCTGCAGCTGGTGGTGAATAAAACCCAAACCTGCTCCTGGAAGCTCATTCAGGGACTCCAACCTTCATCACGTCTGAGGCTCTGAGATAAACACACTTCAGTGGTTCAGATGAAACATCACGCTGACGTCATGAAGCTCCATCGATTGTGTGAAACTTAAACCCCCTTTTTTGTTCAAACTAAATTGGAGTTGAGGAAACTGAATGAAACTTATTTTATTTCATTTGCCTCCTGAAGAACATCACCATTTCAGTGGTCACGTAGCTAACAGTTAATTAACGTAGAAAACTTTGTGAGAACGACTTCATTTTGATGATTAGTCAACTTGTGTTTATGCTGCACAGCATTAAACGACTAAAACACCAACAGCTGATCCTGAGACTGTCGCTTGTTGGTTGAACATAGTTTCATTAGAGAAGATGCAAACTGTTCATGGTTCCTGTTTGGCCCAGATCTTGTTTCAGAGTGGAGAAGAATCAGCCAAAGACCAGTGAGACAGAAGACAATGAACACCTTTTAAAACCTGAGATTAAACCTTTTGTTTTTGTTGTTTTTAGCTGATTTAATTTAGAAAATAGCCGTGCAGTGATCTTCAGTGAGTCTTATTACTGAGTTTCTGATTCTGGTTCATCATCATCTGAGCTGCTGAGGTCTGAGGAGCTAACTGAGATCTGAACTTTGACACGTTGTGATGTTTTCTGCTTCCTGGCCCGACCAGACGCTCCTCAGACGCTTCATTCCTCCATCGTGTTCTGCTGAGCAGCTCGGCAGTTCCTGTCCTCGGACTGTGGAGCAGGCGAAGCGAGCCGACACTCTGCCGCTCGGCTCCGTGTTAATCTGCTGTTAATTTGTCTGGACTGTAACGCGAGACGTGGAGAAGCTGCAGGAGCTCAGAGTGAAGCTGTTAGTCATTAATTTAACAGACTCGGAGGTGACGAGGCCACATGTCTCCATTATTCTCTGTCACTCTGTCAGCTCACGTAATAACGCCGCCGCTGGATCCCTCGCTTTCTGCTGCACGACTCCAGAACTTCAGCAGGTCCGTTAGAGCAGTTCCTCTGTGGGCTGTACTGTGTCCTATTAACAATAAGAGGAGCCGGATGGATCCAGGAGGTCCATCTGCTCCTTCAGGATCATCTGCAGCTGATGTGGTTGTTGAGGAGCTTCATCTGCTGTGAAGTCACACAAACCTTCAGAACTCATCTGGACCCATATAAACCCATATAAAAAGCTCCGATAGATGGAGTCTACTGTGCTTCACTGTCGCTGTTCGTTACTGGGCCTTCTGTTTGGACCATGATGGGATGGAAACATCTCCACAGCGACCTTCACCTGACGGCATGAGGACCACATCCTGAACTCCACCTGAACAATAACCCTGAAAGGCTCCGGCTGAAGGTGTCCAGTCTGAGGGAGACTCATCGTTCACTAATTCAACATGAATGATGTCAGCTGGAGATGATTTAAGCTCTTTCTATTTCATCGACACCATAGACATGAGTTCAGTCGCCAGACACGACGCCGGAGCTGCAGGCTTCAGACAAAGGACGGGAGTTCTTCTAGAACAAGTTCACCTGCTTTAATGTTCAGAACCTGCTGTCCTCCTCGTGCTGTACCTGTCTGTACAGTACAGTGTACTTTAAATATTGCAAACAACAAAAATCCCAAGATTACCTAAAATGTATCCAAAATTCTACAAAGTGACTAAAAACACACCCAAAGTCTGTAAACTTGCCCAGAATTACCTCAAAATTCTACAAATTACTTAAAATTAGCCCAAACTACTGAAACTCACGTCTGCAAACCTTAATGTGCACAAAAAGCAGCTTCATTAAACACTGAAGGAAACAAGGACCAGAGACCACAGATGTTTATCGTCTCTATGGAGCGCTGAGCTCTCAACCTGTTCACAATAAAACATGTTCAACACAGAAACAACCGTCCAGAATGACTCAGAAATACTGAGAAATGGCAAAAATACATCAATAAATCCAAAATGAATTGAAATGTGTCCAAAATTATCCAAAACTACTGAAGAGAACGACTCTGCTAGGAGTAAATAACAGTGAAGAAGGAACCTGGAGCAGAATGTGAGCTCTCTGAAGATTCTCTGAAGGTTCTCTGAAGGCT